GAAAGCAGTGATTTTAGCAATTGGAAGCAAGGAAGATTGAAAGCATCTCTGATGCCAGAAAGGGTGCTTCCTATAGTGTATAAACACAATCCCTCCATTAAAAACAAATGAAAAGACTAGTGTAGAAAATGCTTCAAATGTTCCTTAAATAAAAYTAAACTTAGCTGAAATGTAACTGCCTAAATTAGAATAATTTAATGATGCTGAATAAATATATATGCACTGCAGTTTGGAAAATTAATAGCAAACAAGTTATGTTTTTATACAACACTCACAAAGMCAAGACAGCAGCTTTCTCAGTGTCTATTGCCAGGGGCATATTGTTATATGCGAGACTACTTTGCTGTTTAATTTTTTTTTGTTGTTGTTGTTTACAGGGCAGATACAGTGATACATATTATGCTGGATTCTTACCAGAGAATATACCTTGAGCTATTTTATCCTGTGTATTGCTGCTAAGCTTAGCCATGGAGAAAAATCATTTCACTTCCACCTTCTCCAGAAACCTGGCTCTGAAACTGAGTTGTTACCCTGAGCTGAGCTTCACGCAGATGCTAATTTAAAACTCTCTTTGACATGYCTGCACAAGCTGTGTTGACTACACATAGATGCTCACTATAGAGGTAATTCTGCAAGGAGACAATGGCAAACTGCGGAAAAGAAGCAGTCAAAGCTGGGCTTTGAAATTACTCGAAATTATTTATGCAAGCTCTCAAACTCAGAGCAGTAATAATTTTCAGATTAAAACCTCAAAGAAKTTCTGCAACTAATGTTTCGTCTCTCTGTGATGAAGCTTACACTAGACTTAAAGCCACATTCAGTTGTAATACACAGCCTTGGGCTCCTGTCCAATGTGTTTGAAAAGGTTGGTGAACTCTGCCAGGTACTCTGACTGAAACCTTTGTGTAAGTGTCTGTTCATCACTTTTATTCAAATGTTTATTGGGAAATAAAAATCCAGCTTTCTAAATGGTTAGAACACTAATAATTTCTGGATCTATGAAGCAGAGTGTGTGCCTACAATGTGACTTGAATAAAACTTGGTGCTGTGTTGCATTCTTGAAACTGCCAGCTTTTGAAGGTGGGATGAGCCTTTTTCCCATCAGATACATTTCTTCAGGTGCTCTGAATTCACTGTGTGCACTTATGTGATGAAAATTATCTTTGATTTGTCTGTGCTGAACATTTCAGTACCATCATGTGTTTAAAATAGATATGGTATGTCCCTTTGGAGCGCTATTGTGGGCCCGTTCCAACCGTAGGTCCCTAAAGCACACCTGAACAGAGGATTTGAGGAGTTCCCTGACCAGTGCAAATACYAGGGACAGTGCTCTTCAGTCAATGCTCAGTTTAAATGGGCTCAAAAACCCATCCCTGTGCCTGCAGCAATGCTTGCAGTAGCTGTATACATGTGTGTGCATGCTTCCCAAAACCTAACCTGCATTCTGGAATGCAAACACAGAAAAGGCAACTGTCCAAAGGATGCAACATAAGCTGATTGACAACTGTAGAAAAAAAATTACACATGGATTTAGTTTTCATTTAAACAAAAAGAATCATATAAAAATTCCTGATTTTGTMTTTATACTGGAAGGGTAAAAATCTGATTTTTATCACGTCTGCTATGCATGATAAAATATGTATAGAATAAGTAGCTCAGCTTTCTAATATATTTTAATTATGCATCAGAAAATTAATATAACAAGGAAAACACCTTTCAATTCCATAATCTGACACCTACTTCGCACAATGTTATTTAAAACAATTACTGTGTGATACAGTCTGATTTTCAAGATACAAAATTTCATTGGGAGTGCATTCAGCTTACGTAGTAAAATCACAAAATGTCACTAACAACCTGTTATATATTAGAAAGAAATTTAAAATGACCTTGTAAGCAGACCTTTACAGTAGTGAAAAATATTATGTTTCCTGTGGTCTATTTAACACCAAAAAAAGCTTTCACTTTATGYAATAATGGACATACCTCTTTGAAAACCATACTATCCATTACATTTCTACAGCRTCTTTCAGTCAAAAATAATTGCATTCACATTTCTGGAAACCTYTTGAACAGGGGAGAGCAACCACAAGTACTGAAGCCATCTAGGACAACCTCTGACTGTTATGAAAAAATGCCACGGGATATTGCTGCTTTTTTAGAACATACAAGGCTTTGTTTTTAGTAATTTAACTAAAATAATARTAACATTTTAGTAATTTAACTAAAATAATAATAAAAATCCCATAGTTAGTAAGATACCTGGAACTTCATGTCTACCTAAGATAGAAGGYCTCCTTCAAATATCAGTTGCAATTAGCAGTTCTCACTCCATGCATATTTTGAAGGTTATGCTAACAGTAATCAGAACTGGGTATTAATCTGCAAACATTTATACTAAATATACGATAGCACCAAGTACATTCACCAAGTACAGCGGGTGGCAACTTGCCACGTGGATTAATGCCTGCAGGTAAATGATTGTTTTACCTCAAACCATCAACAAAAGGTGTCAATATTGCAGTGGTGCAATTAATAACCTACCACTTCATTAATTGTTACAAATATCTTCATGGATCAACTTGAAAACTTTAGGGAACTTTAAATGTTTTTTATAGGGTTTTTCTCCCTTTGGCTATTCAATAGGAGAGACAATGAATAGTGTATTAATAACCCACTTGGGATTCTCTGATGGGGCCTTCTGTTTATTGTGTATGAGAGTTATGTTTGCCTTATATGAACAATGCCTTGAGCTTAGGACAAAGTTGGAAACTTTATAAAAATAGAAAAATATAAAAGAGAGCATTTGATTTTGTCAACATCTTTTGAAACTCGAACAAATTTTCTTTTCAAACTGGAGCTGATTTTCTTTTGATAAAGAAAGGAAGTGCCATAGGGGTCCAAAATCTGTCTCTAAAAACAGATCCCTAAGAGAAATAGTATCTCCAGTATCTCATAAACCCAACTATTTTAAGTCTAGTTATTGTAAAACTGCCACTGAAGAACATGGCCTGTAGGCACTCAAGTTTAGAGCCTGCAGTGTTCCTAGTGATCAGAATTTCAGATGTGTTTAGTTAACAACCGAGATAAGAGTAAGACATGGGTTAGTGTAAGACAATAAGCATAACCTCTTCCCTCTTAAAGTGAGATTGACATTCAGTGAACTGCTTTTTTACATAATCCCCCAGGCTCTACTGGAACCTGTCACCACTAATTTTTTTTAATTTTTTTTAGTTTATTTCCCTAATGGCACTTTTCTGCCTAGCATTCTGAATTTCTGTTATAAGACCATGTGAGCTAGTCAATAGATTGCAATCTTTGTGGCATTAATACTTGCCGAAAGRATTATACTATAGCATATATTGGTTTTCAAATGAGATTACAAAGGGACTGCTACAAGAGTTCCTTATCTATTGGTGGTGAAGCAGTTTGTTAGAAGGGCTGACAACATGACACCAACACATATAATTATTCTAATACACAATCAGCCACAGGGTCTTCAGTTGAAACATCATTATACTGCTGAATCATCTCACACCTTTGCAACAAGGGAAGTTCATTAGAAGGTGCTGTCACATAATGGTTTTGTCCCAAATGTAGCTGGCTGGAAGCATAGAGTTCTTTCGTACTTGAACTAACCCTTCAAACTGAATGTAGAAAGTTACTGCGCCCTGATCACAGGAATAGTCAACATACAAAAGAATTAGTCAGCCTTTGTCCTAACCTAGGAAGTGGTCAAACAATTTGAGGAGTGTGAGAATAGAAAGTGGACTGTCAAAGAGAAAATGGGTCCAAAACTTGCATAAGGTCTTCAATTGAATTGTTTTTGTAATTTTGTAATTGTTCCTGAGATTCTTAATTGATCAATTCATTGAACACTGCCTCTCTGAAAACTGGACCGTGGAAAATCCATCTGACTCACCAGTGATTAATATTTTTGGTTTAAGAAACATACACAGATTAATGGGGTGTGCCTGATAATGGCATGTGGTTATTCAGGGTGTGAACAACTTCTAGCATCTGTCAAAACTGGTGGCTTTAGGGTTATCCAATGAAGATGCAGAAAAGCAGAAAATCTTTCTTGAAGAAGCACAGTACAAATAAGGAGATCATATACAGAGACAAGCAAAATGTTATTGAAGTACAATATGTGTACTATGCTATATACAGTATTACACTAGCTATGAAGAATATTAATATCAAATATTATGTTAACATCGAATGGTCAATTGTATCAATATTCTCCAGATATACAGTCTTAGAATTAGTCAGAAAAGGACTTTTGTATTCTAATGCAATGTTGTATTTTTTCCCTACGGAGAAAGAAATGTATAAATGCTTTTTCAAGTTCTGTTAAGCACTGGCCATAATATTACCTATATAAAGAGTTGTACGCACTGTGCAATAACATCACCTCGTCCCACAGCACAGCAGCAACGGCGCTCTGTGCTCACACGGGTATACAGCGCGTTAGTGCCCGATCTGCTCAGTAGTTACTGCATGGAGAAGCTGAGCTGCCGTCATGCTCAGCGAGCAACCTGCAGATCAGGCTGAAACCACTCGTGAGCCCGGCAGCTCGTCACCCGTGACACGGCGGGGCTCAGCGGAGCAGCGGGTGGCTCAGCAGCGGGCACAGGGCGGCCCAGCCCCGAGGGTGCCGGACCCCACCCCGGGGTTCGACCGCATCCCGGCMCCAGGCTCCGCGCCTGGCTCTCGCCACCTGTGGGGATCTCGCCTCGCACCCTGGTGGCTGGAATGGGAAAGGGCTGAGCCCGGGGCKGCCGCTGGGACGCTTCGCTCGGGGAAAGGAAAATTCCAGCCGAGAGRAGCGGCCCTGCCCCCGCTGGCCGCTGACAGCCCGCGGCCCGGGCCGAGCGGAGTCCCCGCTCCGGCCGCAGCTGGAGGGACAGCCGGGTGTGTGGGGGCGGGAGGGAGGCGCTGGGAGGGGAACAGGCAGTCTCTGTTGTCTCCGCGCGTGCCGGGGCGGGCAAGGTTCCGCGTTTCAAGTTTCTCGCCGCGCAGTTTGGTTTGGTTTTCTTTTTTTGCTTCTGTGTTTTTTTCCCCTCCGCCCAAGGTGTGGTTCCACAAGCGGCAGGAGCCTGGCACAGCCCGCGAGCGCGGCCGCCCCCCCGGGGAAGCACCCACTGTCCGCGCTGTAAACAGCGGGGAATGCGCGGGCTCGGGGGCGAGGCGGTGCCGGGGGCTGCGGAGCGGGGCCGCCCTCCTCAGCCCGCCCCGAGCAGGTGAGGCGGGGAGCCGAGGCTGTGCGGGCGGGTCCCCGGCTTGCGCCCGCCCTGCGCTCCCTCGGCCGCCGGCATGGACGGCACCGCTCGGCCGGCGGCCGCCCCGCCACCCTCCGGGTAAGCGCAGCTCAGGGCGCGGGCGGGAGCCACGGCCGCCCCCGGCTCCGTAGGGACAGCCCGGCGGAGCCGCGGCCGGGCAGGGCCGTGCGCGGGGCTGGGTGAGGTGAGGTGAGGTGAGAACGAGGGGGCAGCTCGGGTCGGCGCGGCCGGTGAGAGGTGCGGCGCTTGTGAGGCAGCCAGCGGCGAGAGGCGGCTCCCCAGCGCCGGGGGCGGGCGTGCTGCCGGTGCCCCTGCCCAGGGCTCCTGCGGGGGCGCGGCGAGGCCCCGGGCGGGAYCGCGGGCAGATGGAGCGGCGCGACCGTTAAACGGCTGCGGGAGCGGCGCCTCGACGGCATCCGGGCCGGTTCTCCGGCTGAACGCGGGCTCCCCGCCCGGCTGGGGCTGTGGCACCGGCCCGTCGGGCCGCCGGCGCCCTCCTTGGCCGTGCCCGACCGAGCAGCGCCGGCCCCGCGCCGCGGGCATTCYCGCAGGGACGAGCCGCGACCCGCCCGCCGGCGTCACCGTCCCGCTGCCTCTGCCGGGCTGCAGCGCTGCTGGCGCGGGAACCGCCGGGTGCACGGCACTGCCAGGATCGGCGCCTCTGGGAAATCCTGCAGGTCCACACTTGCCGGTCGGGGCATCCTCAGGTGTGCGGCGTCTGCTTCCAGCTCTCCGGGTGAGAGTGGCGGCGGTGTGGGAGGGCTGCGCCCTCCTCAGTGCTCTGGGAACTGCCCACGCTGGGGGAGAGAAAGTAAACAAGCAGCATCTATTGGGAGTAGTAAAGGGGCTGGTTTGTTTCTTTTTACATGTTAGGCTCCTCTGATTTTGTTTTGTTTATAGTATGTCAGAAAACAAAACTTCCAAGAACATGTTTTTTTTTAAATCTTCAGTAAAATTACTCCAATTGTAGATCAGGAGGGGGATTATTTTTTCCTTAACTAGTCAGGTACATTTGAAGAAAATTAATTCACTTAGTGACTTAAGTGAGCTAGAGGGAACCAAAATATTGACGACTGCTGGAGTTAGTTACCTGTAAGTAGAATGGACAAAATACATGGTGGGTGTATTTTTTAACATGAAGATTTTCGTGAAGCTTTCATAGTATTTACAAAAATTGATTACTTCGGTTTCTGACCAAGCAGCTACAGGATAAACAAGTGCAGATGACAGCGATTTACTGTAGTATTAGCAGCAGTAGTCAAATCAGCTTGAAGTCATGGCTGTAGTGAATATGGACGACTCAAAAGGAGACGGGTATTTATTTACCTAAATTGTCACCATTCTGCATTTATATATAGCCATTGAGAAATGAACATTATATTGTTAATAAATGGAGAAGGTATAATTACAGTATAGATAATTACTGCATTTTTGAGACTCTGTATGTAAGCACAGTTGGAAGGACTGAGTGTAGGATAAAAGTGCTGTATTCCAGGTTAGAAAGTGGCAAAAACTGTGTGTCTTCAAGGTTGTCAGTTTTACTTGTGAGCAGGAACATAAAAACAAGCAAAAAGCCAAAATTAAAACTTTGGCTGTTCTGATAGTTCCTCTAGGCCAGTTGCTTGCCATAAAGCTGTTGGATATAGTGAATTTTGGCTGCTCCTTGACATCTAAGTTCCCTTTATGTGACTTCAAGCATCTGTGAGCATCCACTTCTCAGTTTTGAGAAACATGTAGCTAACAGTAGTGYTCATTGCTTTAGCCCTGCAGAGATATTTCCAGGCCTTTTATCAGCTCTTYACATACAGTTTGGTACTTAGAAAATCAAGTTGCCAAGCCTTTCTTGCTATTAAAGTTCTTATTGACACTCTTAACTATTTCCTGAAGATGTTCTCATTTGCTCATTGAAATGCTGGATTTGAGGAAAAAATGTCGATATAGCAACAAAAAAGACAACTCCCAGTTTTACAGAAAATAGCCCACAGATACATTTTTGAATAGTATGCAGTTACCCTGGTTCCCTCTCTGAGATGATAGGAAAAATTGTGCAATCTGGGAAGAATTTCAGTTGAAATAGCAGTTTTCTTTCACTACCAAATGATGTGATACCCTGCATTACAGCTCTTCATGTCTAGTCAGGTGTTGTTAATCTGCAGCTGAAAAGTATTTACCAGCCAGTGTGTTCTTAAATCACTATTTGAAGTTTTAGGGAATAATTGCTGGTAACTCTTAACAGCTGAGAAAGTTTGTTTATGCTAACTTCGAAGAAGGTCATGTTCTGTGAATTTCTAAGCACTGATGTTAGTTAAGGCTTGGAACTGCTWTATAACTTAATCATTACTGGCTCTTTAATATACAGTTTTGTTATCAGATCTGTGGGGACAGGCTTTGGAAGAGGATTCCATCATATATATCTTTTCTAGCATGCAGGATTATACTTTTCTATTGAAAAATCATTTATTAAATCTGTTGTGGTAGGAATGTTTGTCTGAATTTGGTGAGAAACATGCCTGTGTTATTTTCAATGTACATTCAAGGTAAGTAAGGAAAGATTTTTTTTTTTAATGGCTTCTGCTGTATTTTTTTTTGTTTGTTTTTTAATATGGTGAGTAGAGAGTGTGCCCAGCAACTGGCTGGAATATTTTGGAATATGATGAATAGGAGGTGTGCCCAGTAATGGCTGGCCATGACACATAGTTTCTTCTCCTAGCAGGAGAAACTTGGCTGGACCTACTTTTAAGGCAGTTTTATAGCCCATCATCTTGCCCTGAGTCTGAGCAGCACTCATGGTAGTGAGCTCCTGCCAGGCCAGTTGACAAAGTCTGCTCCTGTTCATCACAGAGCTGAATTGGCTTTATGGAATGATAGGAAAAAATGTGTGATTAATACTTATAAATAGAAAAAAAAAAYCCCAAAACAAATAGGTGTAGTTGGTATCCAGCCTTTTGAACACAATTTTCCTGCTGTTGCTGGACAGCAATCCTGTACCCTGGAGTAAATATTTTTTTACCCTGCGAGTAGATGTCAGTAGTTGATACAGAATTTTACCATGAAGAATTGTATTATGGCTTAATGTGTCATTAGAATAGAGGGGCAAATGTGGATTTAGGTAAATGTAATACAGGCATCCTTTGAAATACTRGAATGCGTGTTGAGATCCACCTTTAATTAAATTGTAATGTTTCTGAGACTTTTGCGTTATTTCATTTGTTCCTTTAAMATGTATTTAAAGCTATATGCTTACCTACAGAGTAACAGCTTCTGACCTGCTTTACCCAAGCAAACTCCATTTGTTTTTTCGTTTTCACTTTGTGTCGGACAAAAACATACTCAGAAGATAGAGCTGCTCTCCAGGGGCTGAAGATAGAGCTGGTTGTGTGSGGGAAGGGGCAGGGCCAAACAGCTTTGATTAGCTTAGTGCAGATACGCTTCCCGTGTGTGTCTTGAGGCTCCCATTCACTGTTGCTTGGCCTTGAAAAATTTAAGGGGAGCAGGAGAGAAGTATTTTTCACATGRTTCCCAGGGCTGTCTGAGGAGGTGAGAAATGCTTTCAGAAAAAACAAGAAATTTACCTTTTGTCTTGCACGTAACTGTTTTTATCAAATAATTTCARTCRCATTACAGATCTCTGGAGACATCAKCTGTGGTGCACTGTTGGCAAATGTTTGGCATCAAGCTTGGAATACTGATTCGAGCTCTCTTCCTTCTCTTTCAAGTGTTCAGTTGAGTCAGCTCACAGCATAGCCGCAGGTTTGTTCAAGTGTAAATGAAAGTCCTTCCTGTTGCTGAGTGTGGGAAGGGACAGCAGGTGTAGCAGTAGCTTCAAACCAAGCATTCTATGCCCAGGCCACTGCAGCACAGTGGGGGTGGGGATTTGKGTGTGTGTCTGAATTTACTTGGTTTGGTGAAATTAAGTAAGGGTGAAACTACATTTTTCTCTTGCAATGAATTAGCTGTTGCCATTGTATTACGTACACATGTTAATCAGTAAGTGCAAGATCTTCTGTGCTCATGCTACTAAATGTCTAGGATCTGGCACTGTCTAGGATCGGAGCTTAGGCTCTCTTGGGTCTAACACATAGTCCTGTCTYAGATGTGCTTCATTTCTTAGACTGAGGACTTCAAAATAATACTTAGTGCATTCTCCTCACCCCCATGACCCTGATGAAGAACAAGTAAATAAGCAATAACAAAATGGAAAGAATTTTGAGAATTTGGGACTGTAGAGCTTGCTGGATGTTTGAAGCAGGGAGTTAGCTCCTTTGTGGGTGGGTGCCCATCAGAAGCCACTTGAATGCTAATCATTCCAGGGGCCAGTTTGCCAGCTGAATTCCAAATGTACACATAATACTTCTTGAGGTGATTATGTTCTTAATGTATCTGCCTTAACCAAGKCAATGTCAAATAGTTGAATGACACTGGTGCTGTTTACTGACTGTTGTATTTAAAACCTGTTCACTCAAACTTTGTCAGGTCTGAAGTCAAAGCTGGGTGCCTATGRAATAGTTAGTGGTAATGTTCGCTGTTGGAGTGTATTGCTGTGGGAATGAGGTCAAGAAAACATTAGGGGATGGAATGTGGATACTAGGGTGAAAAAATGTGTAGGGAGGTAATACACAARTAGAGATCAGCAGAGTTACTTCCAAGCTTTGACCAAGTGTGTTGATGTCCTGTGAAAAAGAAAAGTGAGAGCTAGATACTGAGGTATCAAAAGCATTTGAGGGGAAAAGGACTTGAGACTGGAAACTGGGTTCTGATGTCATCTTAGGGTAGGTTCTTTTCTTTCTGCTTTTACTGGATTTTTTTTTTTTGTGTACTTGAAATGAGATCACAGTGTTTATGTAAACCTGAAGATCACTATTTATTTTGAGTAGGCGCATCTGTGTTGGTGGAAGAAGGAAAGAGTCCATTATAGGGGACCAAAACCTTAGATTCCAGGGGAAACTGAAGGTCTTTATGGGACTCCTGTCATCTGACAGACGTAATAATTCACTAGGAATATTTTAAAGTCACAAATAGTTTCTCCTGTAATGTGACAACATCTAAATAGGTCTTCCTTTGTAAAGTCCAGTACTGTT